TTTGTACTGAACCTAATTTGTACTGAACAATTACTTCCTAATTTTCTAGATGAGGCAACTGAAGCCAAGAGAAGTTGTAACTTGTCCACAAGAGACTAGGAGAGCTACCACACTTCCCTCTGGTCTTTCATTTTTAGTCAAAAGCATGACTATGCTAGCTTATAATATCTAGAGCATCTATAAAATATCTAGAGTATGCATTGCTGCACTGCGGGCATGTGTGTGCTGGGGGTGGGGGCGGTGGGAAGAGGCAATGACCTGGACTTTTGTTGCAAGTCCCTCAACAACAGGCAGTGACTAGTTAACTCAGATCCGTCTGCTAGACTGGTCTACTTTGAATGGAAACACCATCCTGTACTTTAAGCCAGCTCTTAAAAGAGTTGTCCTTCCTAAATCAAAACAAGATTCACTCCCATTCTGAATCTTCTGAAGGTTTGTTTAGAAAGCTGAGATCAGGTTTTCTTCTGAGTCCACTCTGAGTCCCACACACAGACCAAGTGGACCTCCCAGGGACACTAGCCAGCAGCAGAACTGCTGATCTCCTTGGCTATCCTAGATTCAACTGCAACTGTAAGTCAACAGTTCCCAGGTAGAAGTTAGTTGTTGCTAACTCTTCCCCAAGTTTGTGATGTCTTCAAGCAGATTCTATCACCCATCAAAAAGTTTTGCTTTCATGGGGCTGGGAAACAGAACAGACTTTAAAAAGCTAAATTTCCTTTTGGAAATGACAAATATAGGCGCTGGGTGCAGTGGCTCCTGCCTGTAATCCCAGCACTTTGGGAGGTCGAGGTCGGTGGATCACAAGGTCAGGAGATTGAGACCATCCTGGCTAACAGGATAAAACCCCATCTCTACTAAAAATTCAGTAAATTAGCCGGTTGTGGTGGCACACGCTTTGTAGTCCCAGCTACTCGGGAGGCTGAGGCAAGAGAATCGCTTCAACCCGGGAGGCGGAGGTTGCAGTAAGCCGAGATCCTGCCACTACACTCCAGCCTGGGTGACAGAGAGAGACTCCATCTCAAAAAAAGAAAAAAAAGAAAATGACAAATATATTCTCATAACCACTTTAAAATGTAAAATGGAAGCAGAGATGTGTCAGAAGAGGAAGCCAAAGAGATCTGAAGTATGAGAAAAACACAATGAACTACTGAAGGCTTGAAGATGGAGGGGGCACGTGAAAGGTGTGAGAAGTAACTGAATTCTGGCAATACCCAGAGAGCCTAGAAGAGGACTCTGAGCCCTAGAGGACAATACAGCCTCAACCAACACCTTGATTTTTAGACCAGTGAAATTTTGAGCAGAGAACCCAGCCACATCATGTCAGACCTCTGACCTACAGACACTGAAGTAATAAATGTGTTTTTAGAAATTAAACACAAAAATCAAAATAATGCTAAGAGGTCCTGAGTTGGTTCATGCAAGATGTGGGTTCAAGTTGTAGCTTTGCCACTCACCTGCTGTACGACCTGTACCGTGTCTTCTAACCCCTGAGTCTCATCTCCCATCTGTACACTGGGGGTGGGGAATGTGAATATTAGTATCTACTTTCTACAGTATGCAGAGCAAAAAGGAAACATTTTGCATACTATACGGCATTATGCAAATACCAAGGTTTTACTATAAATCTTCCCCCACAAAAATCAATGTGTTGATATAGATTATCCATCTCTCCACATATTCCCCTCATTTTAATGAAGCATTCCGTTAGATAACTATTTTTGTCAAATATTTCTTTGTTAAACAATGATATAAAAAATCCTAAAAAGGAAATGGATTTACCGAAGGGGTCATACCTCTCTCAACACAGACAAGCTTGAAATGTGTTTCTCCTGTTCCAGCTTTGCCCCCTCTTCTCCTTTCAGAACAATGCCTGCATAAAAACTGACCACTCGGCCAGGCGCAGTGGTTCATGCCTGCAATCCCGGCATTTTGGGAGGCTAAGGCAAGTGAATAACTCGGGGCCAGCAGTTCAAGACCAGCCTGGCCAATGTGGTGAAATCCCGTCTCCACTAAAAAGAGAAAAATTAGCCAGGCATGGTGGCAAGTGCCTGTAGTCCCAGCTACTAGGGAGGCTACAGCAGGAGATTCGCTTGAACCCAGGAGGTGGAGGTTGCAGTGAACAGAGACAGTGCCACTGCACTCCCGTCTGGGTGACAGAGTGAGACTCTGTCTCAAGACAACAAAAAAAACTGATCAACTACACTTATAGCTGCAAGCACACCTAACTCAGTGGCTCACTCTCCTCACACCTTCCTAACAACCAACACTTAGAAGCACTTTGACATTCAGGATTTTACTCACGCCACCGAAGCCTGATCTAAGATAAAGATGAAATGACACTGTACAGTAACGGGCTGGCCCCAGACCATACCACCAGCCAAGAGCGCAGCCAGGCCTAGAACTGAAGCCATCTTATTGCAAGCTGGGTGTCTGTCTCCAAGCCCACACGACCTGGATTGGCAGAGGGCGGGGAGGACAAAGGATTCCCCACACTTGCTCTGTGCCCAGGGTGGCACCAGGTTTGCCAGCCCTTTCCCTTTCACATGCCCTTGTAGTGCCAAAGTCCCAGGGCCAGGCTAGAATTCAGGACACACCACGCAGGATGGTATGTGGACTTGTTTCTTTTAAAATGAATTAGCTTGTTTTCAAAATTTAAGTCAAGGCCGATCAATAATCACAAGTCTCACAACTTACCTCAAAAATACCTTCATGTTAATTTTCTTTGAATGTGTTCAGCACTCTTGATGTTAACCACCCCTCTGCTCACCCCAAAATAAATATCTCTTGAATCATGTCGGGTCCTTAAGGAACTACAAATAAAACGACCAACATTCAACTTAATTTCTTTCTCATCAAAAGCCTGAATTCCAGATTTAACATCTAAAAAAAAAGCAAAACTGAGGGCAAATATGGCACCGATAAAAATAAAAAATCATAAAGGCAGATAATGGAATTGAAAGGACGTTCATTATTTAGAGTCCCTTTCTAGCTTTTGAAACTGTCAGCTGACTATTTAATGGTAGGCTACAAATACACATTTGGTACAAGTTGGTAATGTTAAGAAAGGCGTTAGATCCAAGTTAACAGTTGCTTTGAGACTTGATTGTAAATATCAAAAGGAACTCGTGACAATGTACTTTGTAGGGGAGAGGCAAGCAGCTGGGCATTTGGGTTAATTTGTATAGATCGAGCTGTAAGTCTGGTTCCAGTATTAGCAAGTCGGATGCACACTGCCTTATTTTTCTAATTACCTTCCATCTACTATCCTTCTCTAGCCAAACCCCAAGGAATGAGATGAGCGGATATCTGGGGTACCCACCAAAACACAGCCCCTAAGTGATGATTTGAAATAATATGTTCTTACATACGTCTCCACTGATGCAGATAAATGAGAGGGTAGTAAGTTCTCTTAAGACTAAGATTTGGGAGTGAAAGACTCAAAATTACTAATGAAAGAGTATTACGGTACGTTCAAGTCATAATTCATTTCTGTCACTCATCAGTATGACCCTAAGCTAGACTTGAACACAGAACATTGCTTTCTCCATACAATGGATCTACTCTGCTCCGTTGATCTCAAAGGATTTTTCCCAAGTTCTTCAGTTTACGTAAAAGTATACAAATAAAACATAATTGCTATTAACACATTTAAGCAGACTTGTTTCCTTTTTCCCATAGAGTTGGGCATTATCTTTAGGGTCTAAAGAAAACCAGATTTATTATCTAACGAATGAAAATAATTGAATTACAGAAAAAACTAATTATAGTGCTCCTCTAAATCACCAGATTCATAATTTACATTGCAATGAGTTTGCTGGTTAGGGAACTGATTAAAATCGCTGCTGTATAAAATGGGTCATTCAATATTTCTTTGGGAATGCAAATTCAAGTTTAGCAAATAAGCATACTTTCAAAATGAACTAATGTTGAGATTCTAGGAGACGATTAAGAAAATTAAGAGACCATAACCCAAAAATGTTTTTAAATGATCTTACTGATCTCCTTAAAACTGAGTGATCAGAAAATGAAATTTGAATTGTACGTCAATTGTAAACCTTTGTATGCAGGTACCATTTTAGAAGCATCTAGCCTTTAATAAAAAGGCTTCAGCACCAGCACAGGAGAGGTTGCTTTCAGTTTTGTAGAAACACAAGCACTAGTTGTTAACTAACCTTTGGCACCCATCTTTAGGCCTGCTTCGAATACTAATCAAGTGGAAATGACCTTAACACTCTAAATCCTTTCTTAAAAATCGTAACAAGGAAACACATTCCTCTAAGAGACTTTTGGAAGGTTAGAACTGACCTTAGCATTTAGTCTAATCTTCATTTTACAGAACAAATGGCTTTGGCATTTGGTAGCATTTTTTATTACAATCATCTTGGCAGCATTTTTTATCAATGATCTGTATTATTGGTTATTTTTCTGGATAATGATCAATTCCTGTGCGGTGGCACTGTGGACTATCACACCTACAAATAAGAAAGTATGTAACAAATAAAGGCATTACATTGGCCCCATTTCTTTTCTTTTCTTTTCTTTTTTTTTTTTTTTTTTTTTTTGAGAGACAGAGTTTCACTCTTGCCTTGGCTGGAGTGCAATGGCATGATCTTGGCTCAATGCAACCTCTGCCTCCCAGGTTGAGGCGATTCTCCTGCCTCAGCCTCCCAAGTAGCTGGGATTACAAGTGTGTGCCACCATGTCTGGCTAACTGTGTATTTTTAGTAGAGACAGGGTTTCTCCATGTTGAGCAGGCTGATCTCGAACTCGCAATCTCAGATGATCTGCCCACCTCGGCCTCCCAATGTGCTGGGATTACAGTCATGAGCCACTGTGCCTGGCCCCATTTATTTTAAGAGTAAAGTAGCAACAGTTATTTCCATAGATGGTATTGCAAATTCTGTTACCTTTTGTAAATTCAGAGCAGTGATTTGGTTAGTTCTTAGAGGACAAAAATCGAACATGCCTAGAATTGCGCAGTGCAACAAAGGTTAACACACTTGATTTCCTGCTCACATTTATTGTGGCTAGAGACACTAAAACAGCTATTTTCTTCCCCCAACATTGGAAAAATAGAACACAATAGCAATTTTTTAAATACATAAAACTTCTTGGATCATGAATCAACATGAAACATAATAGCCTGTAAAAATCAATTGTGATCGCTTTATAAAATGTCATTCATCTAATGCATTTCTGAAATTGTCCTTAAAGCTATACACATACACACAACTATCACATACAGGCATCCACTCATGAACAGAAAGAAAAGTCTTTTATAAGTATTGTGTAAGGAAGGCTAAAGTAATACATATTTAGATTCAGAATAATTTTTTAAGAAAAAACATAGGGTTCCAAGAAACAGTGATTTACACTCAAAGAAACATGTACACTTGCAAACCCGGATAATATTTTCATGAAGCAGGCTACAAGAAAATTCACACTGAATTATTGTTCAAAGTCCTCTTTCAAAGTACAGACTCCAGGTCCAAAGCAAATACCCACGGCATGAACAAATAGGACGCCTAAGATTCTAACATTTGCTTCTACATGGCTTTTCTCCTCACTTCCCTACCTCAAAACAAGAGAAAATTTCCTAGATGGGACAATGGCAAGATGTTGTGATAAAACATCCCATAGGATTTCTGGATGCTGGGCTGTTATATCCAGATTACAGTTTGGTGATGGATTTTTTATTTCTATACTCTAAACACAAAAAGATTCTTGCCATAGCATCCAAACATCCATATGGAGACCTCATACTTCCTCTTAATACAGAAAGAGAATCACTAGGAAAGAACAAAGCTGGCAGACTGAGAGAGGAGGCATGGGTAAACTCTGCCACCGGCCAATTAACTAAAACAAGAATATCAGTCTCTGTTATCAAAGTTGTTGGTTAAAACTGTCAGCTCTCAGGCACGGTGACACACATGCCTGCAATCCCAACACTTTGGGAGGCCAAGGTGGGTGGATCGCTTGACCCCAGGAGATTGACACATGCCTGGGCAATCCAAGGAAAGCCCATCTCTACAAAAAATACAAAAATTAGCCAGGCATAGTGGTGTGTGCCTGTAGTCCCAGCTACTCAAGAAGCTGAGGTGGGAGGATCACTTGAGCCCAGGAGGCAGAGGTTGCAGTGAACCAGGATCACGCCACTGCACTCCAGCCTGGGTGACAAAGAGAAACCTTGTCCAAAAAAAGAAAAAAAAACCCGTTGCCAGCTCTCTCCTTTGTAAACAGTCTCTAGGGCACCAGATATGTTTAACCAGCCTGGTTTTGTTGATTCTGACAATCTCACACACATTTCAAAAGAATTTACCATTTTTCAGGCACTTCTCAACATTAAAAAAAAAAAAAATCAAATCAGTTCTTGAAAAACAGTTTGACAAACAACCCCCATTCCCTAGCCCTGTCCAAAAAGTAAGCAGCTAATTCAGTGATACTATCTCTGTAAGGCAGCAAATTCCTTCAATTTGCCAAGGAAATAGCATATATATTTTCTTTCATCCTGATAACAAAGTATTTTAGGTTACTCAGAATCAGCCCCTGTTTAAAGACTCTTCATGGCACCAAGCTTAAAGAGTTTACTAACAGAGGATATTGCCACTATTAACATGCTTGTTACAAAAATTCAGTTGCAGCTGAGTTCCTGTAATTCCCTGAGCAGTTACAAATGCCTTTTACCTATAATGAGGCAGTAGGCTCTGTGTAAAACAAAGCAAATTAACTATTCAAATATATGTAAATCTGTAATTATATTAATATGAATTACACTGACAGAATAGAGTTTTTTTCTGAAGTATTTAGAGTTTCAAAAGAAAACAAAGACAATATTGAGAAATTTCTAATAAATGATTAAAAATGATTTTGGTTGGCTGCCCTTCCCAAGTTTGCCCAAAGTTCTCATCTATATTCTACATAACACGTAAATTAAAACGTACATGACCAATAGATGTACTACACATACATCAGATATCAATATATACATGTGAATTAAAGTTCCTTAAATATACGCATCCCCACTTAGGATACATCCTATTACATAGGCAAAGCATCATCCTTTAATAATAGGTCAGAGATAGCAGCAATTTGATATTCTATTACCCAGTTACCTCAGAAAATACCATAGATCCTGAATAGTTCCTGATATGGCATCCCTGGCTTCAAGAACTCTCCAGTAACATTTAGCATAGGTCTCATAAAGCACCAGGCTGCATTGCCAATAGCAGTTAAATAATCCTGTCATTGGAGAAAAGGTTTTATTCTTTCAAAACCTTATTTTCAAATCTGACTCATGGTATAATGGAAAAAAAGTAACAATGAGGTGATAAATTTAAACTAAAATATATAAAGCATTTCTGTTTTTTATTTCTTACATGTTTTTGTTGTTTTATCAGTGCCTTATAACATAGAAAGTATTCAGACTGCCCTAACAGATGCTGAAAGAGCAATAAATTATGCTGAGAAACAAGCTGCTCTGTGTTTGAAAACATAAATGACTCACTTATCCATTAGTGTTTTTACAAACAGAGATGGCAAGATATTGTACTAAGCACTGTTTTAAGAGAGTTAGGAGTCTATGCCCTTGGGTAAGTTATGAACTTACAACCAAAATTCACATATATAATATGCAAAAAATCTTTAGGCAGATTTGCAATAAACCATTTCAGCCACAGAAGGATAGAATGGCTTTTAAGTAAACATTTATTTTGTGTGTGCTATTGGGTATATCCATGCATGCTCAATGGATAGAAATTACAGGCATGCTCCAAGTCACATGGATTCTAGATGTAAATGATACACACTTTAATATTTACCATCCATGTGTACTCTTAGACCCGATTCCAAATCTACTGGAGGTGTGAACACAGACCCCTAGAAAGGTCCCGGTTACCTATGACAAAGTTTTGAAACTATCACTCTACCAGTATTTTGTATGAAACTATTTTGTAGACCACAGCTACCGGCTGTAAGAGACAAGCTGGCCAACTCGGAAAACTTACATTTGCCAAGGGAGAAACACTAAATTAGACCATATTGTTTAACAGGCTGCAACTCTTTTACTGAAAAAGGACAACTCCCTCTGCACAGCAGTTTCCTCCTTCTTGAAGCTGAGATCACACAGGAGAAACCTATTGTGTTTCTGCCAAATCATAGTGGGAACACTGGGGACAGCACACCCAGTAGCCAGCAGAGGCACAGCCACCATGTCAACTGCTCAGATCGGCAGCCTGTTTTATGGCTCCTACGAGGATTTCTCCTTACGCAGTCTTATCCTTCTCCTCCTTATCAGGTTTCTCCTGTGTTTCTCGTGGTAGTCTAATCAACACACAACAGGCTCTGGCTTCTCAGTTATCTTGCATGTTGCCAACTACGACAACACACTGGTTACATCAAATGTTTACTCAAGCTCCTTGAATTTGGTTGGAAGTTGAATAGTCCAGTGAGATCCTTTGGATGACAAAATGATATGTTCATTCCATCCCAAGCAACCCCAAAGCTCCCGACATGCTCCATAGACACAGCTGGACTGTCAAGCCCAGTTCTCATTACACAGGAACACGCACACCCAGGATTCGGCCTTTCCCGATGCTGAAGGCTGGCAGACAAGGTCAACAGAGGCACTTTCAAAGTTGGCAAGGAGGAAGAGGCAAAGTCACTAAGTGGGGCTTTATCACTGCGCCATCTCATGTAATTCACACATCTCGGACGTGTGAACACGGAAATCTTTAGGTTGTGGATGGGTCGTGCTTTTTCTTCTTGCCCCGACAGGACTTGCAGACACAACAGATTATACATGGGGAGGCCAGGAGTAGCAAAGGTGAAGTCACCAAGGCAATGATGCCCAAGCCTACGAGAATCCCTACCACCTGGAAATTTCAAAGAAAAACACATTTCAGCAATTAAGTCTTTCAGCATGTATACTTATTCCAACTATATTATCTGCTGTGGGCCAAACATTTGTGTCCTTCTGCAGCTCATATGCTGAAATCCTAAATCCCTGATGTGATAGTATTTGGAGATGAGGCCTGTGGAAGTCAGTTGGCTTATGAGGGCAGGGCCTTCATGATGGGATTATGAACTCATAAACCAACTAACATCTGCTCTTAAAAGAACAGATGCCAGAGGGCTTTCTTCCATTCTCTAGGCTCTATGCCATGTGAAGACACAGCAAGAAAATGGTCATCTTCGAACCAGGAAGAGGGCCCTTACCAGGACATGACCATGCCGTCAACTGAACCTTAGACTCCCCAGCCTCCAGAAGGGTGAGAAGCAAATTTCTCTTCTCTAAGCCTCCCAGTCTATGGTGACTTTTTATAGCAGCCTAAACAAGACATCATCTCAGGCACATAAAACAGTTACATTTATGGGACCTTTCAGCCAGTGCCCGGCAATGATCTGAACCGGAAAAAAGCTACAGAGATACAAAGGATCAAATCAAGAATGAAAACCATCCAAATGCTAACTCAAGCTGTCACAAGCTCAGCATAGTCATGAATTATTGTGTTCATGCTCTCTCTACCTGAATTTCCTCAGCTAGCTTATAGGGATATTAATGACTACTAGGATATTAGCACTGACTCCCTCCAAGGGGCACTGTCTTTAATAAACCTAAAACACCATTAAAAAGAAACCATGACTCCCTTTGAACCTGCCACATAAACACACAACAGCATCTGCAGAGGGATCTAAGCCCCAGCAGGGACTCACAGGGTTTTAGAGCACTGCCTGATACGGTTTGGCTGTGTCCCCATCCAAATCTCACCTTGAATTTTAATAATCCCCACTTTTCAAGGGCAGGGTCAGGTGGAAACAATGGATTCATGAGGGAGGTTTACCCTATACTGTTCTTGTGGTAGTGAGTAAGTCTCCTGGGATCTGTCGGTTTTATAAATGGGAGTTCTCTTGCCTGCCACCATGTAAGACGTGCATATTTACTGAAACCTCCTCCTTTGCCTTCCACCATGATTGAGAGGCCTTCCAGCCATGTGCAATTGTGAGTCCATTAAACCTCTTTCCTTTATCAATTACCTAGTCTTGGTTATGTCTTTATTAGCAGTGTGAGAGCAGACTAACACGCTGCCTTTAATAGGTAACGTGGCTTAAAGGGCTTTAGAAAAGTCATTCCACTGTTTCTCAAGAGGAAAGAACATCTGCCTGCATCCTGCATGTCCCTGTTGATTTCTTGGCAGCTCTGGTGCCCCTGCTCCTCCACAGTCTCAAGGAGACTGTGCTCACAAATTAACTTCAGGTGATTACCACATTGCTTTTCCCTAACCTCACCATAGAACTCCCCAGAACCTCCCAGGCTGAGGTGGGACCTCCCAGGAGGGAATAGTGCAGGGAAGATGAAGAGGCGGGCTCTTTAAGCCATCACAATTTTGCCTTATGTCACGCTCCCTGTAAGGTCAGGGTACCTGTGTTCGGTTCCACATCACTGATGCTCTCGAGTGGCCTAGTTTATTTCTGCATGGCCCTTTGTCATAATGTCTGAGGAAAATGTCATTCTGAAAAATAAAAAGATTAGTTTCAGTAAATATGCAGTTTTACGTTGAGAAATGAATACAAACCACAATGGATCACCAAATGGAAGCCAAAGTTTTTCTCCGGTGATATTAGTGACTCCCTCTAGGAATTCCGAGCCCGTACTCTTTATCTTTGTAGTTTCATAAATCAACACGTGAAAATAAATCATAAACAATAAGAATCTCAATTAATTCTGTAAAAAGAAAAAAAAAGAATAGCAATGACCTTACTAATCTTAGCAAGGTAGCCCTGGCAGAGGTACAATGAAATGGGAAGGCCAGGAGCAAAGCAGCTGAAAGGTTGGTGTGGCAAACCTGGAAAGAGAAAACGCCAGTGACTGAGGATGGATGAAGAAGAGGAAGTTACAGTCCTAAGATATTAAAAAACTAACTAACTAGACAGAGAGACAAGGAGAAAAAATCGCAGATGAGGAAAACCAGCTGGGTTGAAAGAAGGCAGTGGCTTTATCGAGAGAAACGACAAAACAGAGATGGAGTCTTTTGGGAAGATAAGTTTGGACATGTTGAACTTTAGAGATGATTGAGACATCCAGGCACGGCTGTTCAAAAGGCAGCTCATCTCATAGATCTAGACTGAAAAAAAGAGACTTGGGCCTCAGCAGAGAAACTAGCTCAGGGTCCAAACTAGGTGTAGATAATCTAATGGTCTGTTCATTAGATGAATGGAGAAAGGGGTTTCAATCGGGCATCAGTGTACGTAGGGTGGAAGGAACCCACAGAAGAGACTGAATTAATCAGGAAGAGGGGTAAACTGAGAAGCAAAGAGACTGCTGAACACAAGCATTTAAGAATGGGTTGAGGAAGAGGCTGGAAAGGGAAATGAGACATGGTCTGAAAAGGAGAAGAGAAATCAACAGAGGTGGTACCGCTGAAATAGATGTGGTCAGGACTGTCAAATGCAGCAGAGGATCTAGGTAAGCTAAGGACAAGTATTCATTGGATTCTGCCAGAAGAAATCACTCAAAATCTGGGAAAGGGGTACAGTCAGGGTGAGACTATGTGGTAATCTGAGCACATTGCAGTATTTGGAAGGTAAGTGATGTGAGTAGCAGCAAGAGGTGATTAGGCTTTTTTGATGCTTGACTTCTAACGGAACGATAGAGGGGTAGTAAGAAAAAGATGCGTGCTTTAAGAAAAATGTTAACTCGTGTTTAAATGTGACACAGTCGAATGCATGGATATGCTGAAAGAGTGGAGACTGAAACCACAGGAGAGGGAAGAGATAACTGAATGGGCTCAAGTCTCTAAGGCTATGGACAGAAATAGGATTCTAAAGCAGACAATTAAACTTAACTCATCCTCTGAAACTACTGGGATGATAATCAAGACAGGAACAAGCTCATCTCCAGCAACACTCAAAAATCCTGTCTGGTGTCAGTCTCAGGCCTGGATTTTAGACAGTCACCCTCTCCTGCCCCCATGGTCTCAAACTTTCCTATAAACAGAAAGCAACACCACCATCTGATGTGGAACTCCACCTGCCTAGAGAAAAACATCATTACCAACAATCCAGCGCCCCTGGCTAAAACTGAAAATGAGATCTTAAAAAAGTCACCAGAGGCCGGGCACGGTGGCTCAAGCCTGTAATCTCAGCACTTTGGGAGGCCGAGGTGGGTGGATCATGAGGTCAAGAGATCGAGACCATCCTGGTCAACATGGTGAAACCCCGTCTCTACTAAAAATACAAAAATTAGCTGGGCATGGTGGTGCACGCCTGTAGTCCCAGCTACTCGAGAGGCTGAGGCAGGAGAATTGCTTGAACCCAGGAGACGGAGGTTGCGGTGAGCCGAGATGGCGCCATTGCACTCCAGCCTGGATAACAAGAGTGAAACTCCATCTCAAAAAAAAAAAAAAAAAAAAAAAAAGTCACCAGAAAAAAAGATGCTTCAACGTTTGAAGTCTGTGTATCTAGCCATTTAACATCTGCAGCATTTCATCTCCAGAACCAGAACAGCACAAGTGACAGAATCCGCATGTTCTTTGCAACACCACCCTCCAAACATATTTCAACAAAAGGATGGAGAGCTGGTACACATATTTAGTCCCTTACACTCGGGCATCCTAAAGAGAGCCTCATGGGCTCGGCCTCCTTGAGCAGATGAACTCAATTAGTATTCTGGTAAAACCTGAAGGAAAAAAAAATTGTTTTTCATTTGTAATGTATGTGTAATGTGCAATCTAAAATTCTCATCCAGAATATCACTCGCTTAGATGCATGCTAGTGCTTAAATATCAAACGTAATTGTAATTCAAAGGCCTATTATAAATCAGTTTTTTCAATGGAAAATATTTATTCCAATCTGAGCTGCTGAACTTCTCAAGTCTGAAATGTCCATTTTCTTCTCCCCATTTATACCTCTTCTTAAATCACTAAGATGGAGGTTATTATTTTTATTCATACATGTCATCTTAAACAACATGTCTAGTTTTCAGTTAAAAATCCAGCAGGGTGGCCAGCAGACATCATATGCTAACTGCACACACACTCACTAAGCACGTCTGAACTAAAGCACTACACAAATTGCTTGCTGAATTAAAGCACATCAAGCAACCAAAACAAAGAGCTGAGAAAAGAATGGCAACTCAGTGGTGACTGAGGGCTTAGAATGATATGGACATATTTTAGAGGTCCAAACTGCCAAAACAGGGTGTTATCTATAAACAACTTATGCTACCCCAAACTTTAAAAGAACAGAAGTGAAGTAAGACCTTCTCACCAACCCTTCCCACTGCATTTTTACCTCTGAGGTTACCATTAGTCTTGGCACAGGGGTGAATAAAACTGCACCTGAATTTAGGAAGACTTGATTCTGAATACAGCACACCAATGGGTCTTGACATTTTAATCCAGTTTGCCAGTTTGTGTCTTCTGATGGGGGCATTTCGGCCGTTTACATTTAACCTTACTATTGTTAGGTGTGAATCTGATCCTGCCATTTTGTGGCTAGTTGTTTGTTTTGCCCGTTTGTCAACACAGTTTCTTCACTGCATTGTTGGTCTTTACCATTTGGTTCATTTTTGGCTAGGGGAGGGACAGTGGAGGGTGGGGAGGGTGAGGAGGGGTAATGTGGAAAGAAATGCCAGGTATAGATCACGGGGGCAGAGAGGCAGCAAACCTCCTTGCCACGTATGTACCTATGCAACAATCCTGCATGATCTGCACATGGACCCCAGAACCTAAAGTACAATTAAAAAAAAAAAAGAAAGAAAGAAAAGAAAGAAAAAGAAAACTACTTGCTTCATGGATGGTGAGAAAAAATAATTAAGCCAAGCCCCTTGATCTGGGAAGGGAACACTGACAAAACAGTAGCAATACTACTGCATGCCCACAACGGGGAGGTGGGAGTGCGGCCATGTGAGCAAGAGAGTACAAGTGAGAGAGAAAGAGAGCAAGAGAGCATGAACCATTTTTCTTTAAATTCAAAAAGGAGAGAAAACCTAATAGTGGTAGGCAGAATAACTGCCTCTCAAAGATATCATGGCCTAATCCCCAGAATCTGTGAATGTGTTACCCTATATGGCAAAAGGGATTCTCCAAGTTTGATTAAATTAAACCCTGAGATAGAGAAGATTATCCTACACTATCCTGATGGGCCCAGTCTCCTCACACTGGTCCTTAAGGTAGAGAACCTTTCCCAGCTGTGGTCAGAGGGAGCAATGACTAAGAAGGGAATGAGAGATGTGATGTTGCTGGCTTTGAAGATGGAGGAAGAAGCCACAAGCCAAGGAAAGCAGACAGCCTCTAAGGCAAGAAAGTAGATTCTCCACCAGAGCCTCCAGAAAGAAAGGCAGCCCTGCTGATACCTTCATTTTAACTCACCAAGACCTATGTCAGATTTCCAAAGTGCAGAACTATATAATAAGTTAGTGATGTTTTAAGCCACTAAGCCTGTGCTAATTCATCACAACAGCAATACAAAATGAAGACACTAACAGTCCTTTACATAATAGAGTGAGAGAGACAATGTCTAAGTAGTAAGAAATGCCCCTAAAACAAAAGCCTGCCTTCAACACCAAGGTGACATATGTAAGATCATCAAAAAGCTGTTTTTAGATAACTAAAGTAGTAGGCTTAGGAAGTCTCATTAAGAAAAATAAATTCCATTTACAGAATAAAAATAGCCTCAGCATTTTAAAGGGAAAATCTGTAGGATATCAGCTGTGGTATGATACAGTATAGGAAAAACTGGACAATAAACCTAGGTGGAACTTACATCCAAGTTCTGGAGACAGTACCAGCAAAACGTGTGCTTGCAGTTTTTGCACATCATCTGAGCGCAGCCTTCATTGCGTTCGATATAAACCCGGCAAACTGGGCATTGCTTAATGGGGGCTTCTGCATCTGTCCCAAAGAGGGCTCTAGAAACAAATGGATGAGAAATGGCATTCAGCCCATGGTCATCAATTGAATTCCCAGGGCTCCTATGGTTAGATAATGAACTCATAGTTATCCACACTTGATTCACTTCCAAAAGATAGGGTGTGGCCAAAAACATCCTTCTTATTAGATTTACAGGTAACTCACGCAAGAAGGAATCTTTATTTATTTTGGCTTTCAGTGAATTATATAATTACAGTTTCCACCACTGATTTCACTATTTTGCCAAATTAATATTTCATTCCCTAAGCACGCATTGCTAAAATAAGAACTGCAAGGAGTCAGTTACACAGCAGAGAAACTAGGTCAGGGTCCAAACTGGGCGTATATAATCTATCTAATGGTCTGTTCATTAGATAAATGGAGACGGGGGTCTCAATTATCAACCCTTTAAAATAATGTCCAATGCTTTCAAAAGACCTTCTCCAAACAAACGCATAGACCAATACAGGCTCACAGCCCCAAGGGGCACAGAAAATAAGCAACAAGAATTAGAGTGGGAAAGATGGATAGGTGAGTCATAGCACCAGGTAACACTTGAGCTACTCCCCAGCAAAACCACCACCCGGCCGGGCGTGGTGGTTTATGCTTGTAATCTCACCACTTTGGGAGGCCAAGGCAAGCAGATCATGAGGTCAGGAGATCGAGATCATCCTGGCCAACATAGTGAAACCCCGCCTCTACTAAAAATACAAAAATTAGCTGGTCATGGTGGCGTGTGCCTGTAGTCCCAGCTACTCAGGAGGCTGAGGCAGGAGAATCACTTGAACCCGGGAGTTGGAGGTTGCAGTTAGTGGAAAACGCACCACTGCACTCCAGCCTGGGAACAGAGCGAGACTATCTCAACAACAACAACAGCAACAAAAAACCACCACCCAGCACATAGAGATATTCAACTTACAGAGTGTTATCAAATCTATTATCAGATTTAGTATGAATAACCTCATACTGTCAAGAGACAATTACAGGTTGAGCATCCCTTGTCCGAAAATTTGAAATTCAAAATGCTCCAAAGTCTAAAACTTTTTGAGTGCCCACATGACAAAGAAAATGCTCACTGAAGCCTTTCTGACTTCTGATATTCAGATGACAGATGCTTAACCAGTAAAATATATAATGAAAACATTTTAAACTCTGAAAAAAACTGCAATCTGAAACATTTCTTATCCCAAGCATTTTGGATAAAGGATGCTCAACTTGTATCTTAATTCCCTTATTTTCAGATAAAGAAACAGACTTACAGAGGCTGAGTGACTTCCATGAGACACACAGATACCAAGTGACAATATCAGAATGAAAATCTTCCTATCCTCTGAGTTCTTTGCATTGCCCCATAGTACCCACAGAGCTTCCTGCTATGATCATGAAAACATAGGCAATGCTGGTTTAAATCTGGCTAAGAGGGCACATGCCTGCCCCTGGGTATTAGATCTTTTTTCCTCTCCAATTGTTTGCTCTGAGATTCAAACACGGTACTGTAGACAGGTAGCACTACTATTCCTAACGCCTGGTTCTACACACTCTGGGTGCACTTTGTGATTAAGCCAATGGGATCACAACACTGGTATTTTGTTCTTGCTGATGCAGAACAACCATAGCCCCAAGCAAAGCAAGAATAAAACAGAGGTCTCCCACTCTGGGCCCTGCTGCTGCCATAAAATCCCTCCATATAGGCCAAGTGCAGTGCCTCACACCTGTAATCCTAGCACTTTGGGAGGTTGAGGTGGGTGGATCCCTTGAGGTCAGGAGTTCAAGACCAGCCTGGCCAATATGGTGAAACCCCATCTCTACTAAAAATACAAAAATCAGCTGGGTGTGGTGGCATGCACCTGTAATTGCAGCTAACTGGGAGGCTGAGGCAGGAGAATCACTTGAACCCAGCAGGCGGTGGTAGCAGTGAGCTGAGATCACGCCACTGCACTCCAGCCTAGGCAACAGAGCAAGACTCTGTCTCAAAGAAAAAAAGAAAAAAAAAAGCTCTGTACTAAAAAGGTACAGATCTAATTGCTCCCTGTCATAACATAATCTCAACCTTTTTCGAGCATAAAGTATCATGGGAGAACCCTCCTTTCTATATTATGAAAGAATTTAGGGCCATTGTTTCTATTGCTGCATTCTTCCTGATATGACTGTCATGCATCATGAGCTGGCAATTGAGTCAGGTATGAAAATTTCTGACTCATTTTGCAAGCAAGAAGAATGAGATCTACCAGTACAGGCAGATACGGTATCTGAGCAAATAGCTGGGATAAGTCATGATTTCCTACTGAGAATCAACAGACCACAGTGCCTCACTACCTAAAGAGAAAGCAAAACTCGTATAAACTTTAATTCCAGCAATATCTGGAACATTCCTTTGGGGCAAATAACTAGAAATACTTTTTTGGTGTTTTGTTTTGTTTTGTTTAGCAACTTACCAATTCTGAGACACTTCTCAGGGAGGTTCTGCAAGAAAATAACCAATCTCTAAAGGCCATCACAACGTAACTTCTTCCACACAGAAGGTATGTTGAGTTTCTAAGAAAACTATCGAATAATCCCAAAGACAAAGTTTCCTTTCTTACCCGTGCTCTGTTGGCAGGACAACAGGCTGACTGTCTCTACAGGAGACCTCTGCATGCCAAGCATCCTTGCAACACGAGCAGAATTTCAGGTGGCAAGAAGGGCATTCCACCAGCACAGGCTGTCCTGGATCACTCGATGCAACGGGGCACACTGTCTGACAGTCTGCAACAGGACACCATGTTCGGTAGGGGTCCAGATGAACTTCTAAAGTGTAAAGAAAGAAAATGTGATGATCTGTCCAATTCAGGTTTAGGTCTTTCTGGTTGGATGGATGGAAGGATGGATGGATTTAGAGCCAGAGTCTCACTCTGTTGCCCAGGCTGCAGTGCAGTGGCACGATTTCAGCTCACTGCAACCTTTGCCTCCTGGGTTCAAGCGATTCTCCTGCCTCAGTCTCTTGAGTAGCTGGGACTACAGGTGTGCACCACGCCCAGCTAATTTACGTATTTTTAGTAGAGATGGAGTTTCGCCATGTTGGCTAGGCTGGTCTTGAATTCCTGACCTCAGGTGATCCACCCACCTTGGCCTCCCAAACTGCTGGGATTACAGGCATGAGCCACTGCACCCGGCCCATTTACCCTCTTTTTAAAACTGACATTCATGGAAGTATGATACAAGGGTAAGGATTTCTACTACTGTATTCATCTTCATAATGTATCCAAACCTATCATTTTCAAGGTTGCTAAGCCCTGCCACATTTCTCAAAGTAGGCTCTAATGGAATAGTTCACCATTGTCTTTATGAACAGATGAAAGTGTCCTCTTTTACAACACTTTTATAATGCTTCCCACCTTTGAACATGTAAAACAGGCAAAAATTTCAAATCCCTTCTACAATTATTTGGACACTATCTTGGAAGAGAATTAAACATAAAGAACTGAAACAAATTTTTAAAAAGATATTTTTCCAAAAACACTTTGTTCTTTCAGGCACTGAGAAACAGGTAGTGAGGTTTCTTCCACATTCCCAGGAAATTAAAGAACAAGGAAGAAAAGAATCAAACAGTTTAGGGACCAAACAGTATCTGGTGTGGCTTAGCCAAGAAGTCAAATTACCTGTCAGTTTGGATGTTCTGCTGCCCCAACAATGTGCAAATTAGGGACAATGTGTAAAAGACCCACATGTTCCAAAAACAAAAGGTAGAGACTTTCACAGACCATTGTAATAGCCAGTCATAACACACTGGCTCATTCCATATGACATACAGGAAGGAAGACAGAGTTGGACGAGAGACAGCCATCTACTCAAGTGCTTGCAAATCTTGCTTACTATCTCTTTTTTATTCACTAGCAGACCCCATATTCTTTCCATATACTATGACCCTTTAAGGGAACATACCATGTAAAAAAAAATGATGCTATTTGAGGGGTAGAATACCCCTTTTTTCTCTGAACTCAATTATTTTGCAAAGTTTGATAACATCCTAGTTTTAAACCCCCTAGGGTTCATGATTCCTAGAAATGTACACACAGAAGGCAAACCAATCCAAAGGATGGTGCAAAAAGAAAATAAAGGTATTAAGTAGGAATTTACTTTTTAAAATTAATAATTTTACACATTCAATGTCAAGAAGAAGTCTGTAATGTTCTGGTAAAATATTGTCTCCCCTGATATCGCACCTAGAAACGAAATAATTGGATCTATCTTGTTTTAAGTTTTCATTCAAAAATTGCATCCTTAACTATATGGTCTTATCTAGGAATTCTGGAGGATGGGGGTCAAAAAACAATGAGCCCTTCACACAAATGCAATCACAAGAAGGAAATCCTGTAATTCACAGATGCTCAGATCCCAAAAGAGATGGACCCTCCAAGATCGCGGAAACCTTAAGTCAAGGAAACAGTAGCACACATAGGATCCAAGGTCTTGGTCTTTTATTTCTACACCATTTAATATTTTCTTCCAAACTCTTCGCAAATACTAAGCCCAAAGAAATGAAGGAAAGTGAAAGGCTCCAATATTAAATATCTACTTAGCATCCCTTCTAAATCAGAGGTCTTTTAAAAGTTTGAAAAAGAAGGAAAAGGGGAAGGAAAGTTAAAACACATATTACTGTTAAAATTTGTAGTATCCCTAATGATCACCTTAAGATACAAGATGCAACTTGTTCTCATAGCTCTAATCAATTAAAACTACTTGGCAGAAGTTCTGACTTGTTTCTACCAGCTTATTATTTAATGTATCTGGGGTGTCAAAATGGAAGCACAGGCAGAGGAACAATTATAGGTTTTTATTAATTACTATAAAGAAAGAACCTTATAAGCAGTGCAGCTATGGTGCCGTCCACTGCAAAAGCAAGGTTAGAGTTTGAGCCACAGAAAACAGTGACCTTCTGTATTTTTCACTATTATGACAGCACATAAAGGACCATGCAAAGGCATGCAGAAAAAGAAAAAGGAGGAAAACCTTACAGCTTTCTACACATTTCCTTCATTAGAAGTCCTTATTCCTTAGGAATGGCTTACAGGGTTTAACAAAGACCAATAGTGGAGTTACTAAGAAACAGATTTTGACTCTACCAAAAAGAAAACTGACTACTCTAGCCAACTCTGCAGAGCATCTACTCAGTATCTCTCCCAAACCCCTCGAAACTTCCTTATGAAGAAGGCCTATCACTATAGAATCTGGATATTCTAGAGATATTCTTTCCCACAATTCCATGAACCTAAGGATTGGGTATGTGACATGATTCTAGCCAAAGAGAGGCAAAGGCAGATCCACAAAGGGGCTTCTGGGGCTAGATCTTCACTCTGATATGTGGGAAAGAAAGGCCATTCTGTTGGTCAGCCTTTGGACACAACTGTGTGAGGTTATGATGCTTGGGTCATCATAACAATCTTGAAACTCTGAGGGAAAGCTAAGTTATTCCGAGATGCTATTAGGTTGGTGCAAAAGTAACTGCTGTTTTTGCCACGTTTTTAATGGCAAAACCGGCAATTATTTTGCACCAATGTAATAAATTAACCAAAACCCATGACAGCCTACCTCTGGACTTCTTGTGTGTGAGGTACCGAAATGCCCTTGTTGTTTAAGTCACTTTTAGGCAGGCTTTCTGTTCCTTGCAGCTGAAAGCATCTTAGCTGATATGGCTAAGCTATATGGCTTTCCGGTAATAGCGAGAAAGTACCAGTTCAAACAAAGACTGTTTCTCCTGTGTGGTAGATATTTTATCAAGGAGATTAAAGCATTATATCCAAGATGACTTTTAAAGTCTTTTCCAAATCAATGATTTTATCCTTCTAAATGTAGGGCACGTGGAAATGGGTATGTAAGTAGAAATTTCAAAATGCATCCACATACATTATCCTGTAGAAAACTTAATGTGTACCATATTAAAAATTTATACACCTTTGTAAAAAGTTAACATGCTATGCCAGGTCTATAAGATTTCTATGTAGGTGAGCAGACAAATAATATACATTCATATAGTTGAACGCCATGTAGCTTAAAAAAAAAAAAAGTAAATTGATGTAACAATTTGGAAAAACCTCCAAGATATATTGTTAAGTGTGTCTTTAAAAAAAAAAAAAAAAAAATTGGGGCTGCGTGTGGTGGCTCACACCTGTAATCCCAGCACTTTGGGAGGCCAAGGCAGGCAGATGGCCTGAAATCAGGAGATCAAGACCAGCCTGGCCAACATGGTGAAACCCCATCTCTACCCAAAATACAAAAATTAGCCAGGTGTTGTGGTAGGCACCTGTGATCCCAGCTACTAGGGAGGCTGAGGCAGGATAATCGTTTGAACCAGGGAGGCAGAGGCTGCAGTGAAACAAGAATACTCCACTATACTCCAGCCTGGACAACAGAGCAAGACTCCATTTCAAAAAAAAAGAGAGTGTAAAAAAAAAGACAAAGAGTATAAATGAAACATGCTTATAAAATAAATAAATTATATATCTATATCTATATCTCTCTCTATATATATAGATAGATAGATATATATATCAGCCAGGCACAGTGGCTCACTCCTGTAATCCCAGCACTCTGAGGGGCCAAGGCTGGTGTATCACGTTAGCCCAGGAATTCGAGACCAGCCTGGCCAACAGTGGTGAAACTCAATTCCACAACAACAAAAAAAAGGAGCCAGACATGGTGGTACACACTCATAGTCCCAGCTACTCAGGAGGCTGAGGTAGGAGGATTGCTTGAGTCTGGGAGGCGGACAGTACGGTGAACTCAGATCATGTCACTGCACTCCAGCCTAAGTGACAGAGAGAAACCCTGTCTCAAAATAAAAATATGTACATACAGAAATATACTTTTAACATTTGCAGAAGAACATTAAAAAAACATAACAGTTACTGTTGAGTAAGGGCAGGTGGTAGGGGAAGAGGCAAAGATTTGCTTCATCACTAAACTTGAATTTTTAAAAAAATAAGTTATAAGTACTACTTTCATAATTTTTAAAAATTGGTTTTAAAAAGCTACTTTTGATCTGGCATAAGTACAAACAGACAAAGCAATTCTAAAACTAAGCTGACCCCTGGAAAATCATTTGCTGTTTATAATACTGAAATACATTCAAATTTCCCCTTTGTTTCACATTCTTCCCCATATAGACCATTCTCATCCTATGCTTTTCCTTTCCCCTAAAAATTCCCTCTCTTCTTTACCAAGTCATAACCTAACCATTCTTACGGGAACTATCTCCTGTTGTGCATATGCCTTAATCTGAGGGAAATGGGGCATAGAATCGGCATCTTGTTAATTGCTGCTCTCTATTCATTTCACGGAGATGGCCTTTCTGACTGTAGGCAAGGCTGTTTCTTATTCTGTTTGTGTGCTCCAACTAACCTGACATGTGAGGGGATGCCTACCTATCGATTCAAGGCAGTAATTTCTGGGTTTTTCAAAAGCATATTCATGTATTTCTATGCCAACAATTGACTTACAATGCATATACTAATATCATCTTGAATTACCTTGTATTGGAGTTTTCCAATTCAGATCTAGTACTCTCATCGAGAAATGTGCACAGCATATTAAAATCATCCAATATCAGTCCTGGTGTTGTAGTGCTGGTGTTGTATGTTATGATTTCTATTACACCATAGATCTCCACCCACCTCCATTAGGGTTCTCAAATTTGGAAAGTCATCGATTTGGCAAGACTTGGAACTTTCCATATAGCGCTTAAACATTAAACCTCATAGGCTGGGCATGGTGGCTCACACCTGTAATTCCAGCACTTTGGGAGGCCAAGG